ATTAAGTCTTGGTTTGCTGGTGTGGGGTTTAGCCTGGTCAACTACAAATTGGCACTTGCTATTAGGACTTGCTACCTCTATAAGGATTATATCATGTGCTGTAACAGCTGCTGACTTTCAACACCCCTTGAAAGGAGTTCAGGGTGGAGAGCAGAAATAAGACCCTCTGTGCTCTGGGAAAACCTGACAGAACAGGTGTTCAGATAGATCTTTTCAGGAGCTGATTTTATGGACCCAGTTCTCGAATCTCCTCATACCTAGAAAAGCACTGAAATCTTTCATGGTGATGATTGCTTCTCATAACCAGCAGAAACCTTCTGCAAAAAATGTGTGCTTGATTGCACGTACTTCCCCTTCACCAAAGTCACATATGTACTGATCTTCCCTCCTCCCTTTTCGGAGTAGTTCTCAGAACTAGCCAAGATACTGTCTCTTGGGCTAAATAGTCCTCATTTTGCCCCAAATAAAACATAACTCACAACTCTGATGTTGTGCATTTTTTAAAAAAGTCAACAGCACAAGTGACTCCATTTGGGGTCTGTTTTTTTTTTTTTTAAAATACTGTATATATGTATTGTTTTATATCCACTTTCTATAGCTCCTACAACCAATTACTAGAAACTCAGTGGCTTTAAACAACAGGGGTTTATTTTCTTATATTTCTAGAGGACTGTAAGGAGATCAAACCAGTCAATCCTAAAGGAAACCAACCCTGCATATTCACTGGAAGGGCTGATGCTGAAGCTGAAGCTCCAATACTTCGGATACCTGATGTGAAGAGCCGACTCATTAGAAAACACCCTGATGATGGGAAAGATTAAAGGCAAAAGGAAAAGCAAGCAACAGAGGAAGAAATGGTTAGATAGCATCACCGACTCAATGGACATAAGTTTGAGCAAGCTCCAGGAGATGGTGAAGGACAGGGAAGCCTGGTGTACTGCAGTCCATGGGGTTGCAGAGTCAGACACGACTTAGCGGCTGAATAACAACTAGAGGTCAGAAGTCTAAAGTCAAGATGATGGCAAGCCTGCGTTCTTTCTGGAGATGATGAGGAGAGGATTCACTCCTTTGTCTTTTTCTGCTTTTAGCGGCCACCTGCATCCCTCGGTTCATGGCCTTCCTCACATCACCCCAACCTCTTGTGTTGTCACATCTCCTACTTCTCACTCTGATCCTTCTTCCTGCTTCTTATAAAGACCTTAGGTCAGGGAAGGCTTCCTGGAGGAGGTGGCCCTGGGGGGTAGCATGGGGGACATTCCCAGAGAAAACCCCTGTCCCCAACACATTTGCAAATCACTTTGCCTGCCACCTAGCAAACAGCAAATAACTCATTAACTGGCTGTTTTTAATAGTTGCAAAACCGAGACTACAAGGACCATGACAAATAAACTATGATGAAAAAAATAATTATGATACTGAGTGGAAAAGACTCTACTGGATGCAAGAAAACTTTGGAGCTGGGTCTTCTACCAGGTTCCCCTCCTCCACTCCTGGGATTCCCTGAAGCCTAGACCAGGGAGCTCTCACTTCTTTTCTCCCTGCCCCATCTCCTTACAGGCCACAAGGCAAGCCCACAGGTCTTTTCAGAGCTGGGTTTTCACAGAAATGTTTAGAATGATCAAAATTTTAAATACAGACAGGGACAGATGAAGACAGGATCAGTGAAAGTGCCGTTTTGGAGCCTGAGGCAACGGGAAAGACCAGTAATACAGTACCCATCCCATTCAAAATATTGACATTTTGTTCATTGACAATTTTTGGCGTACTGTTTGATTCCTGAAACTATAATCTTTCTCTGGTATACCCTGGTAGTCCAGTGGTTAGGACTTCTGTTTTCACCGCCAAGGGCCAGGATTCAATCCCTGCTTGGGAAACTAAGATCCCACAAACTGTGCAGTGTAGCCAAAAAAGGTGGGAAAAAACAAAAACAAAAAAATGTAGTCTTTCTCTTGGTGGAATTTTTGTTGTTGTTGTTTTGGTTGCCCCTTCACATTTTGGGTTCTCACCCTGGTCCCAGCCCAGCTGCTGAGGTTTTCCCTAGAAGCCATGTGAGAAGACAGACAGTTGCGACAATGTTGAGACGACTTGCTGTGTGCCTGGGGGTAGGTGAGGGGAGAGATGTGACACCCTGGGAAAATGCGGAGTCCAGCCTAGGGAGCAGGGAGGGACTTTTAGAGGTGGTGTCTGGCAAGAGTTCACGTGGGAAGGAACAGGGCGGCTCCTCAGCTGTAAGAGGAAGTGAGAAGGGGTGGGGATGGTCTCCGGACCAGTGGGTGTGGGTAGAGAGGTAAGCAAGGCCAGGGTAGACAGATTAGGGTTTAGTTTTGGGTTTTGTTTTTTTTTCAATTGAAGTATATAGTTGATTTACAATGTTTTGTTAATTTCTGCTGTACAACAAAGTGATTCAGTTATAAACACACACACAGACACACACACATATACATATATGGGCCTCAGAGGTGGCACAGTGGTGAAGAATCTGTTTACCAGTGCAGGAGATGCAAGAGACTCAGGATTTAATTCCTGAGTCAGGAAGATTCTCTGGAGTAGGAAAACGCAACCCACACCAGTATTCTTGGAAAATGCCATAGACAGAGAAGACTGGTGGGCTACAGTCCATGAGGTCTCAAAGAGTCACACACGTGTGCACACACACGCGTGTACACACACACACACATACACATTCTGTTTTAAAATATTATTTTCCATTATGGTTTATCATAGGATACAGAATATAGTTATCTGTGCTACACAGTAGGACTTTGTTGTTTACCCATTCTATATATAAAAGCTTACAACTGCTGACTCCGATCTCCCACTCCTTCTCTCTGCCAACTCCTTCCTCCTTGATAACCAACAGTCTATTCACTATGTCCATGATTCTCTCTCTGTTTCATAGATTGAATCGTTTGTGTCATATTTTAGACTCCATATACAAGTAATATCATATGGTATTTGTCTTTCTGACTTACTTCACTTACTGTGATAATCTCTAGTTGCATCTATGTTGTTTCGAATAGTATTATTTCATTCTTTTTCATGGCTGAGTAGTATTCCACTGTGTATATGTATCCTGAGGGTAAGATATACATACACAGTGTAAGATGGCGGGATGGCATCACCAACTTAATGGACATGAGTTTGAGCAAGCTCCAGGCATTGGTGATGGACAGGGAAGCCTGGCGTGCTGCAGTGCATGGGGTCGAAAAGAGTCGGACATGACTGGGCAACTGGACTGACTGATAATGGCCTAAAATATAAGGAAAATTCATTGTAATGAAATAACATCCCTGGAGGACACAGGGAAGTCTCAGTAGTATGTCTGTCTTTTTCTTTCTTTCTTTCTTTTTTTGAAGTATAGTCAATTTACAATGTTGTGTTGAAGTGTCTAGACTTTTAAAATTTTTATTTATTTATTTATCTCGGCCACATGGCATGTGGGATCGTAGTTCAATCACGAGGGATCAAACTCATGCCCTCTGAAGTGGAAGCTCGGGGTCTTAAACACTGGACTGCCAGGGAAGTCCCACGTGTATCTGTTTTCAAATGAATGTGTTCAGAACTGAGAAGTAAGATAGTCATTAGTCAATTGAATACTGCCCATAATTTTGTCTCATGCTTGACATTTAAAAATAGGTGCTAAATAAACAGAGCAGTCTGTCTACCAAGATGCCAGTGTGTTGGGTCAACTTCTCCAATATTAGGAGTGATGTTTCCTTCTATAAACTCTGTTTTCCAAATGGTGAACAGCTCCTGACAAAGCTCTCAAACAAAACAAAGTATATTCTGCCTTCTGTTTAAACATAGTTGCATTTCTGAAAATTCAGTGAAAAATACTTTGTGTTGATATGTCAAATGGAGTCAGATAATTATGAACGGTGCTTTCACCCCCACAGGAGTCTTATGGGAATGGAGAAATTATTCTTGGGAGGCAGGAAGGATGGAGGGCACTGAGCAGTGAACTGCAGGACTTTCAGCATTTTTAGCATTTCCAGCTCCTGCCCTTGAAACGCCAGAAAAACCAACAGCTCTCCCCATCTGCCAAGACATTCAAAAATATTCACACAAATTAAAAAAGAAAATAAATGAAGTGGGGAGAGGGGAGGGAGACTTCTTTGGCAGTCCAGTTGTTAAGACTCCCTTCTTCCACTGCAGGGGGTATGGGTTCATCCCTGGTGGGGGAACTAAGATCTCACATTAAAAAAAAAATAGTCCAAACCACCCCCCACCCGCCACAAAGCCCGCTGAGAAGAATGATACTGAGGGAATATGGAGGAGGTCCCAGCCCCTGGATCTAGGGGAAAAAGCAGGAGTTTCGCACAGGCTGCCTGTGTTGCTGGTTTGGCAGTGAGATGCCAAGGCCTGGACCAGTAAACTTGCGGATGCGTGTGTGCGTGGGCTGGGTGAAAGAAGAGAAGTAGGGGATTTGGGTGAAAATTGACGCTGTCAAGCCACCCCCTTAGTATTTTCCTCCATGTCTCTCTCTCCCGTCCCCATACTGGTTACCTCCCCGCAGGACGACAACAGCAGCCCATCCCTGGCCTCCCTTCATGCCTCTGTTCCACAGTCCATTCTCCAAGCCTTAGCCAGAGCTTTCTAGAGAGCACCCTGACTCCCTCTTCCCCAGCCCTAGGCTCCAGCGGCTGATGGATATCTTTCCGTTTCCGGCCTCTGTGCAGGCTCTCCCCCGGAGATCACGCCCAGCAGTCAACTCCCACCCTCACCCGTTAATCCTGCTCATCCTTCAGGTCTGAGAGCAAATGCCCCCTTTTCGGAGACGCCCTCCCTAACTTCCCAAGGAGTTAGCTGGGTTTCCGGACACATGGTAGGCATTCATATAAAAAGATGGGCAAAGTAAGTTCCAGCAATTTAATTGACTTTCATCAAATCCCCTAGGGCAGGTCAATTCTATATTGTTCCCTATGTTGAATACTCCATACGGGGCACTAAGTGGTCAATAAATATTTCATAAATGAATGAATGAATGAACAAACGAATTTATGCAGACTGCTTCTCGAGGCTCAAGGCGCAGGGACGAGCAGGTTTTTATTTTCTGTCTCTATGCCTTCTTGCTCCGCGCATTCCAAGCTGCGCGGTCACGGAACCTCAGTTTCCCGGCCTGCGCAGGGGATGGGCCTCGTAGGGAGGACTTGCTCGCCGTCGGGCGCGCCCCCGCTTCGCAAGCTGGCGCGTCGGGCGCGCGCTCGGGACGTGATTGGCTGGACTGGGCCTCCCGCCGCCCCTCGGGGAACAGCCGCAGGGGTGCCCCTGTGAAGGTGAAATCGGTTCCCCTAGTGCACGCCCCTGGAGTTCTGGCTGTGGCCGTGAGTGGCCGTCCTCTGTCACTGTGTGTCGGTGAGTTCAGGGTGCTGGTGCGGGTTTCTCTGGGTCTGCGGGTGACCCGGCCTGGCTCCTTCCCCCGGAGTCACTGGGTAATTCGTCCTCTGGGCGCACAGCTGGGCTGGACTGAGCTTTGCTGGGTCTCGGGCCTTTGAGCAGGAGAACTAGTTAGGGCCTCGGGTCTAAACTCAACATCCGTGGCCAGGCTGAGTGTTGACCCACAGACATCGCAGCTGGAGGAGGAGACGGGAACTGTTTATAGAGAAGGGAGAGGAGGCTGCTGGGGGATGGCCCTGCAGGCAGGCCCAGGAAGTGACCCCGCCAGCATCTGGGCAGTTCAGGCCCCTTCTCCCTGGGGGAAGTTGACTGATAACACTGATAACGTTTGTGTGTGTGTGTGTGTGAGACCCCTGTTTGGGGCTCACTGTGCATGAGACGGTGTATGTGACCCCCATGGGGGGTGACTGTGTGTAAGTGTGACCCCTGTCTGGGGTTGACTGTGTGTGACTCCTGTGTGGGGGGTGACTGTGCATGAGACAGTGTGTGTGACCCCCATAGGGGGGCTGACTGTGTGAGTGTGACCCCCGCCTGGGGGGGTGACTGAATGTGTGACACTGCCCCCTCGCCCCATCGGGGGTGACTGTGCAGGGCACTTGTCCTGAGATTGGAACTCCCGATTGGGTAAACTGCGTGAGATGCCGTTCTGGGATGCTGGACCCTGTGTGCCTCTTCCTGTCTGTGATTCCGGCCTGTCCCCTGGGGGCCGTGCCTGTGTGGTGCTAGGGGGGAATTGGGACTGGCAGGAACTTTTCTCAACCTGGCTGCAAGGGTGAACCTCACAGCCCTGGCCCTCTCGAGGAGAGGCCGTTCATGAGTTATATTGCCTGCAGACAATAGGTTCTAACAGTCCCTGCTCTGCACGGCTGCCAGTGGCCTGCAGCTGGGAAGTGAGTGCCGCAGCTTCTCGCTTCCCCACAGAGACATATGTTCCCCTACATCATTTCTACTGCCGCTCTCTTGCAGTTTACTCCTCTGCACGTAATTTCATGGTGCCTTCTCAAAAACAACGGGTGAAGAAGTCAGCTCCAGGAAGAGGTTATTCGGACAGCCTGTCAAGCCTGAAAGTGAAGTGAAAGTGAAAGTGGCTCAGTTGTGTCAGACTGCAACCCCATGGGCTGTACAGTCCATGGAATTCTCTAGGCCAGAATACTGGAGTGGTGGGTAGCCTATCCCTTCTCCAGCGGATCTTCCCAACCCAGGGATCGAACCCAGGTCTCTCACATTGCGTGTGGATTCTTTACCAGCTGAGCCACCAGGGAAGCCCACGAACACTGGAGTTGGCTATCCCTTCTCCAGTGGATCATCCCGACCCAGGAACCAAACCGGGGTCTCAGGCATTGCAGGCAGCTTCTTTACCAGCTGAGCCACCAGGGCAGCCTGTCAAGCCCGGGCCTTTGATCCTAAGCCCCGCCTTCCTTGTGTTGCTTTGCATCCAGTCCACTTCCGCTCTCAACATGTTAAAAAAATAAAATTTTTTTTTGACTGTGTTGGGTCTTTGCTGCCCCGAGGCATGTGGGATTTTAGTTCCCTAACCAGGGATCGAATCCGCCTCCCCTGCATTGGAAGGCAGATTCTTAACCACTGGACCACTAGGGAAGTTACCACATGTAAAATTTTTTATTATTTTATTTTTTTAACCGAGATGGAATTCACATACCATAAATCCGCCATTTTAAACTGTACAATTCAGTGGTTTTTAGTACATGCCCAAGGTTGACCAGCCATCACCACAGATTCCAGAATGTTTTCATCACCCCCAAAAGAAACCTCACAGCCCTTAGCCATCACCCACAGCCTCCCTCCCACCCTGCCCTGCCCTGCCCTGCCCTGATCAAACTGTAGGCAACCACTCATGTTCTTTCTGTTTCTACGAATTTGGCCTGTTCTGGGCATTTCATATAAGCGGAATCCTACAGTGTGTGGCCTTTTGTGTCAGCTCTGTTTCACTCAGCCTTATGTTTTCAGGGCTCATCCGTGTTGCAGCGTGAGTCAGGCCCACATTCCTTTTTATGGCCAAGTAATATTCTATCGTGTGGATGTGCGTTGTTGGACCTCAAGCTTGTTTCCGCTGAGTGTATTTTCACTGTCATTTTCTGGCCTTCCCTGGTGGCTCAGCCTGCAGTCCTTGAGTCAGGAAGATCCCCTGGAAGAGGAAATGGCTCCCCACTCCAGTATTCTTGCCTGGGAAATCCCATGGACAGAGGAGCGTGGAGGGCTACAGTGCATGGGGTCGCAAAGAGTCGGACACGACTGAGCGACTCACACTTTTTTCTCTTCAGTATTCTACTGTATGGTTGTACCTTTTGTTGGACTCTTGGATTGTTTCCACTGAGCATATTTAAAATTATTATATAGAAAGCTTTATTTTCACCAAGTGCCACTGACCTCCAAAATAAAACTCAAACAGCTCTTCCTCACCTTGAGTAAATCAGCAGCATTAGTGGCTCCAGGAGCCAGCAGAGGCTGGGATGTTCCCCAGAAGGTGAGGCATCTTCCAGGTGGGGTGAAGCATGAAGATGCAGGAAGGAAGGGAGAAGGCAACATGTGTGCCATCTCTGCCTCTGGTCCGACCTTCCTCTGGTTACTTCCCCTCTGGGCCTCAGCTCATCCGAAAGTTCCAGCTTCCTTCTCATGTGTGTTCCTTGGCATAGATAGCTTCCTTCTCTGGAATAATTGATCTCACATTGCCTTTCATCCCGAGACCCTCAGAGAGGAAGCGAGAATTAAGTGATTTTGACGTCTGCATCCCACCCCATCACTTCCTTATTCCTCAAAATGCACATCCTCCGTTGAGTCAGACACACTCAGGTCACTTCTTTCCTTCCCCAGCCCATGGTCCTGCCCGGCATGGGAACTAAGGGAAGTCACAGCCCATCCCGCAAAGCAATGCTTCCCTCTTTTTGGTTTCGTTCCCTTCCCCTCCATCTTTATCTCATTTATATCATTTTACCATCAACCTTGTCTCATTCTGTTGTGAGAACAGGCAGAGCGCCCAAGAAGAGATAAAGCAGTAGCTTTCAGGAGCTGTGATTTTTGACCACTATTCAATGTGACTAATTTTCACGGGTGGATCTTCAGTCCCTTTGGGGAGAGGAGTATCAGATCAGGGTTTTTCAACCTCAGGATTGCCGATGTTGGGGCCAGAAGACCCTGTGTTGCAGGGGACCCGTCTTGTGTGTTGCAGCAGATGTAGCAGCAGTCTACCCACTAGATGCCACTGTCATCCTCCCAGAAAAGGCTCCGGCCTTGCCTGGTATCCCCTGCCAAGAACCGTGGTCCCCAGTTGAGAAGCACTGGGTTAGACCCAACAGTCTCTTCTGACTTTTTTCCTGTGGTCGTGTGAGTTGTTTCATGTATGTTTCACTTCGGGGCCGAAGCTGGTGGCCCTGTGGTCGGCAGAGCCGTCCCCGGCGGTGTCTCCACTTCTTCAGTATGGGGTGGGGAGCATGAGAACGAACCGATGCTTTCTGCCTCCTCCAAGTGCAGTACGTACATGATCTTATTACAGCACGGGGATTCCAGGACCCTGTGCCAGGCTCATTCGTTGATGAAATCGCCACCTGTGGTGTGTGTCCCTGGCTGCCCGGAGCCCTCCACACATGACCTCTGTACCCTTTTCCCACCACTGCCAGCTTCTGTCTGGTTTCTGTCCTCAGTCAACCTTGCATCTCTCCCAGCCATTGCTGCTTTCCAGGTTTCTCTCTTTCCCATTCAATGGGCCCTTCTGTGTAACATACTAAACATGCCAACTCCCAACGGTGGAAAGTTGTCGGGGTGTGTGTTTTCTTCTCATTTGAGTTTTCTCCTTGAAATGAAAAGAAAAATTGCAGTTGGGGCTTAAATTCTTGTTATTTTTGGAGCCTTTAACCCTTGTGGCCTTATAACTTTTAGAAAATATTAAATATCCCTTTCTTTCATGTCTAGAAATACACTAAGAGCCTAGAAAGTTTTAAACATGAAAGCCTTTTTGAGAACCTACCAAAAGCTTTGAGACCCACTGACAGCCTGATCCTGGCTACCTTCTGTTAAGAAAGACTTGCCTGGAATGGTGATGGTGGTGGTGGTTTTTTAAACTTGTGTGTTGTGGTTTAAAATGGTGTTGATCATTTGTGATTACCAGAGGGAGGGGATTGAGGTGAGGGGGAAATGGATAAAGGCAATCAAAACACATAAACTTTCAGTTATAACATAAATAAGTAATATAGACACAGTATACCACATGATAAATAAAATTAACACCGCTGTATGTTATATTTGAAAGCTAGTAAGAGAGTAAATCGTAAGAGTTATTAAAAAAAAAATGGTGTTGATCACTCAACTGTTGTTAGATTGAAGAAGGAAACAGAGCCTCTTAAAATATCACCTCCGTCCCCTAAAAAAGAAAAATGGGGGACTTCCCTGGCGATTCAGTGGTTAAAGACTGTGCTTCCAATGCAGAGGACACAGGTATGATTCCTGGTTGTGGAACTAAAATCCCACATGCTTGCGTGTCCAAACATATAAATAAAATTTAAAAGAAAGAAAAACTGGGTGAGCTCCAAAGCAGTACTGAAATAGGGAGAGCTCAGGGCGGAACGAGTGTGTGGAGTACCTGGGCTGGCTAGGAACACCGCGTTAGCAGGCATCCATCCATCTGCGATGCCTTGGAAGGCAGGAGGGAAAACATTAGGAAACCTGAACATTCCTCCGCAGGAATTCTGTAGGGGAGCAGCAGAGCAGGACTGGTCCGGGAAGGTTGCGATGTTTGAAAGGAGCCAGGTTTCCTGGACATCTGTACCTTTTGCAGACACCAGAGCAGAAAATGTGAGCCTTGTGTCTGAGGCTCACTGATAGCGGTTGTCTGGGCTGTGACATTCTCTTCCTTTCTCTGCAGTTGGAGGCTGGCAGCGATGAAGATCGCAAGTTAAACCACAGGTAAGCAGGCTTCACATTTTCACCCTGAAGTCTTTCTTCCAAGCAGGTAAGAAATACTCTCGTGCCTTTCCAAGAGGGAGAACCCTGGAGAGAGACTACACCAGCTTTTCTGTAGGAGGAGGGCTTTACAGATAATCCAGACATTTAACTGTAAACAGTTTCAATAATTATGTAACATTCAGAGAAGGAGAAGAAGAATCGCCAGGATTCCATCACCCTGGCTTTGCCATGATGAGTATCTTTACAAACGTCCTTCCAGGTTTTACCTCTGCTTTAAAGAAAGTAATCATTCTAATATGTTCTCAGTTTTCCATCGTGCTTTTGGGAGGGTATTCCTTTTGAGGTAAGTACATTGCTGATTCGAAACAGGCATTCAGCCCCTCAGTTTATTAACTCAGGTTGTGTGTGTGTGTGTGTGCGTGTGTGCGTGCGTGCACGCGCGCGCATGTGCCTGTTGAGAAGTTCCTCAAGCGTGTAGTCCTCAGTTGCTATATTCCCAAGTAGACACCAAAAGTATTGTTGTTTTTCTTTGCCAAAAATTGGGTGTTTTGTTGGCCTACAGAAGCTTTAGTACTTTATTATATAATGCAGTCTTCTGTTCCAATGATCTGGTCTTAAACGCTGGCTCTTAAGAGTTTAAAAAAGTAAACAGCTAGATTCAGAAAAAAAGAAAAGAAACTGGACAGAATTTCAAGGATACTGTTCTTTTATTATTATTATTGTCTGTTTCATCTTGGGAAGGGGAGGCGAATTAATTGGAAGAGGAAATACGTGTTGAGAAACTGGGGTCAGCCATTCATTGCTGAGAGCAGGCTGTCCTCCTGGTTAAACACACACACAGGAGTGGTGGAGCTCCGCCTCGCCTGTCTGTGAAGTTTCCTCTGTGTTTGAGGGAAGGAGGCACCCTGTGTTCTAAAACTCACCTGTGCAGGAAGATAATCATCTTATTGCAGGGGCCAGGTCCTCCTTTTCACATTACGCTGGAGGGAGGACCAGGTGCTGTGACACATTTCACTCTTCAAACTGGGGGTTCTGGTCGCTCAGAGTCTCGAAGGCTGGAATCAGCCAGATTCCCAAGTGGGGGCAGTCACGGGCCGTGTTGTGGATCAGCCAGTGGAGGCCGGGAGGGGAGAGGAGGTCTGCTCCGGAGACTGTTGGGGGAGGGAGATCGGGGCGGAGGGCCGGCGGAGCGCCCCGCACCCCAAACTCGTCTCCAGCCCTTCCCTAGACTTGGACTCTCTTCTCCCCCTCAAGCTGGTCCCTTTCTTCCAGGGCTCTTCCCCAGGAGATGGCACTTAGATGGTCTTTGGGGCAAAGAACTGTTTCATTTATTTACTTGCCCTTCCTGCACTGACAACATAGCACTTTGAATTGTTTCCATTAATAAAGAACTTACAGCTAGCAGTGATGGGAAGACATGTATGTGCTGCTGGCCAATAAAAGGCCCTGTTCTTTGCATCGTTTGGAGCTGAAAAGGGCCATTCAGAGGGAAGTAAAGGCAACTCTCTGCAGGGCCACATCTCATCCTCACAGCAACCCCAGGAGGAGGGGGTATTCCCACCCTCCACCCCACAGGTTGCGGATTGCATTACAAGTGGGGCCTCCATTGTCTGTAACACTTGAGTTTGTCATAGGACTCAGCCTTTCCGGGGAACAGGTTCGTGATTCAGCTGGACACGGGTGTTGCAGGTACAGGCATATGGATTTGTTTAGGTCGCCCAGGTGGTTAGAGGCAGCATCAGGGCTGGAACCCAGGACCCTTGCTGAATTGTGACGGTGCCTCCTGGGAGGCCAGATCACCCTGCTGACCCCTGTGGGTCCCTCTTCACTGCTCTCAGCAAGTCCCCAAGGCCATTGTGAGTCCTGGGAGACCCAGGCTCGGAGTGACCTGGGCTCTGATCCCGTCCTCACAAGCCTCCCCTTTCTTCCGCTTTTCACTCACCTTGACGTTCAGGCCCCGTTTCAGGCAGAGGACAAAGTCCTGCTGTCTAGCCCTCCGAGCTGAACGAGAGAAGTGCCGAGGTCCCCGTGTAAGCGGCGTGACTGCAGCTCATTGGCATCTGCGTGGGGATTTGCGTTTCCAAACCTCTGCTGTCTGAGCTTCTCCTCGAGAAAAAATGTGTGGAATGGCTGGTCATTCTTTGCTCCCTGGGGGGAGGAGAGTTGGGGAGAGGAGATCTCTCTTGCTTCACATTCATCCTGAAGTTAATCTGACCTGATTTGGTGTCTAAAGGGTGCTGGGGTGGGAGAGAAACTGGGGCCTGCAGGGTCGTCCTGTTCCCTCATCCCTTTGTCTACGCTTAATGGACAGCTTCATCTTGCGGGTCCTCCAAGAAGTGATCTTGGACCCAACATGTAGCCAGTGAATTGCTGAATTTGTGGGTCAGATCTTCTCACCCTGCCCTCTTCCCCACTCCCTTCCCCCCTTGGGAGCACCATGGTCAGGTCCGTGAACCTCCCCCGGTTCACTGAGGGGCCGCCCATCAACGCATCCTTGGACCTCAGTTTATCATCCAGCTGTCAGAGGGCTGCCAGTCTGGACGTGCCCCCAGCTTCATCCTCCTGGTCCACACAGCGTTTTTTGACTTCAGCCTCATCACTGGCCTTTGCTCGCAGGGACGTGCCGTTTTTCAGTTCTACATCGTTTGCCCGGTGACGTCCCCGTACGATGGAAATAGGAGCGCACCTTTTGCAGGATCTCGACTGTCACCCAGTCGGTTTCTCCGAAGGCCTGGGGGACGTCTGGGGAGCCGCTCGCCGCGCCCCCAGGGGGAAGCTGAGGGACCCAGAGCCCTCGCTCCCCCTCGCCCCCGCCTGCTCTCTGTGCCGCCGGCAGTCCCCTTTGGGAGGCTGCTCTGTTCAGACTGTGGGAACCGGCGAGCAGATGGCTCCGCCACGGCAGCCCCTGGCTCCCTCGCCATCCTGGGAGCTGCCTTGGTCTGGCAGGAGACTCAAGTGGTTGTGTGCCAGGCAGGGCCCTGGGGAGGGAATAGGGTTGTGTTTCCAGACGGTGGATCAGGAGTGAATGTTTTGCTCCTTTTTTTTATATATATCCAGCATTTCCAAGTCAAGCACGTGAAAATGATCATTAGAGTTCTGTTAATTTCTTTTCTTGCTTGCCCAAGCAAACATTTGGGCCAGAGCAGCAGGATTTTGTCTTCTCTCTTTTACTCGGTTTCAGTGGGAAACTGAGAACCCCTGTGCACCCGCCTCTGCCTCGCTCCTCTCCCTGTTTCGGAAATCCTCAGAGGACCCTGATCTCCGTGTAACCTTCTCTGCCTTCTCGTGGACGAGTCGGGATGGAGTGTGTCCTCGCTCTGCAGACCCTGCCTCCCGTCTTCTTTCAGAACCTCTTCTTCGATGCCTGTCTACCCTTGGAGCTTCCTCTGACTTCCTTGATGGCTTCCCAGCCTGGACTTGGACTGTCCCTGTTGAGGGTCACGTTGTCTGGTTAAGTCCCGCCCGGAGGTGTTGAGCTGCTGCCACATCCCGGCTCTGTGTAGGCTGCTGTATCAGTGATCTACTGCTGCGTAACAAGCCACCCCAAACTCCGCAGTCAGAAACAGCACACAGGTTTACCTCTTAGCTCGTATGAGCCAGGAACCCTTGACATGATTGAGTTGGATCTTCTGCTGGGGGGGGTCTCACGTGGCTGCAGGCAAGGTGTTGACCAGGGCTGGGGTCTCGTCGATTGAGTTGGATCTTCTGCTGGGGGGGTCTCACGTGGTTGCAGGCAAGGTGTTGACCAGAGCTGGGGTCTCGTCAGTGCCTTGGGCCCTCTTCTAAGCTCACACTGGTTCCTGATAGAATGCATTCTCTTGCGGCTATAGACATGGCTGGCAGCTTCTTCAAGGCCGACAGGAGAGCCTGCTGCCATCAGGGAATGCCATCAGGAGAGAGATCATCACCTTTGCCATCAGTTACAAACTAAGGGCGCAGCTGTCCCATCCTGGTCCCTGGTTCCAGCACACACTTAGCACAGGGGGCTGGCCCAGAGTCCTGGGCCACCTTATAAGCCACCCAGAAGTCTCAGTCCACGGGAGTTCTTGAGATGTGCCAGTCTCACGGAGAGAAAGACACATAAGCAAGTAGGTTTATATTCATTGTTAACAGACGTGGCAGGGTATGTCACGTAGAGGTGATGCTGGCTAGTGGGAAGGGGCCAGGAGCCCAGGGGAGCTGGCAGGGTTTGACCACCTGCGAGAGACTGTCCTGTTCTCTCGGCTCTGCGCCCACACACCCCTTCACCCCTGAAGACCTCAGTCTTCCTCCCTTCCAGCCTGAACCCCAGGGGCCCTGCTGTGAGCGGTGTGGCCTGTCCCGTGACCTCCCTGACTGTGGGGCCCCGCCGTGAGTGGTGTGGNCCCCTTCACCCCTGAAGACCTCAGTCTTCCTCCCTTCCAGCCTGAACCCCAGGGGCCCTGCTGTGAGCGGTGTGGCCTGTCCCGTGACCTCCCTGACTGTGGGGCCCCGCCGTGAGTGGTGTGGCCTGTCCCGTGACCTCCCTGACTGTGAGCTCCAGTGAGGCTGGTACTCGATGTCCCTCCCCAAGCAGTGGGTCGCCTGGGTGGGCACCAGGGGAGGTGGGGTGTGTGTGCACATCAGGGCTCCCATTCACGAGGGGCCTGTAGGTGCTGGGAACTTGGGCAGCGCATCTCGTTTCTGTCACCCCCACAAGACCTTGTTGTAGGAAACCACAGTTCCCTGGGGCCGGAACCAGGGTTTAGACTCAGGTCGCTGTGATCAGAAACCTGTGTCCCTTCCTGTCCCCTCCCTCACGGCTTTACTGGCAGCCGACCACCACCCCCCACCCCACCTTGAAACACTGGGGATGCACACACTTGTAACAAGTGAAGAGTTAATTTGATTCTGTTGGAATGTAATTAAAATTACTAAGCTTAACTTAAAATGGATTTTGCTCAGAGTCTAGTAGGTTTCATTACACGTTTGAAATAGCAATGCTCAGACTTCTGAAGCACGCCTCGAGGCCCTGGTCTCAT